GTTAGCAGGTTTTAGTAGGTGTTAGTAGGTGTTAGCAGGTGTTAGTAGGTGCTGGCAGATGTTAGTAGGTGTTAGCAGACGGTAGCAGATGTTAGCAGGTGTTAGTAGGTGTTAGCAGGTGTTAGCAGGTGTCACCTGCGGTTAACGGTCCGCCTGCTGCTTCAACCATCTCTCTCTTCACTTCACTGCTCTCGTGGCCTCGGCTGTAAAAAGCTTCTGTCCACAGACAGAATCTATCAAAGCTGTCTCTGGTGGCGAAGGTCAGAGCGTGATGGTCCGTGATTAGAGAGACAATGATGGAACGATGGATGATGGATAAGTGAATTTGATTGACGCCTGTCATTGTGTTTGATGAGTAGTGTTCATGGTGATGTCACATGACTCCTGCAGGTGTCGTCCGCACTGAGCTGTCCAGACACGTCAGCCTGTGGCAGAAGATTTTCATCGAGCCCATTGCTCGGCTGCTGTTCCTCGACCCGGAGGCCGGAGCTCAGACCACACTGCACTGCGCCCTGCAGGAGGGAATCGAACCTCTGAGCGGACGATACTTCTTCTGCTGCGCCGTACAGGAAGTGTGCGCCCGAGCCCGAGATGACGCCGTGGCCCGTAAACTGTGGGAGGTCAGCGAGAGGCTCTGTGGACTCTCTTAATGTTTGGACATGTGGATCAGGGACCATGAACTGTCTGTACCAGTGTGAATACATTCATGACAACTGTCTGCATCCTTTATTTCCACTACTCACGTGGTTTCACTGTTAGAGGTAACGCAGTACATCTACTTACTTTCTGTACTTTTTCATGTATCTCTACTTAAGTAGATTTCTCTTCATGTACTTTTCACTTTTACTTCACTACATATATCATCAAATGTATGTACTTTCTACTCAACTACATGTTCACATAGTCTTTGTATTTATAAAGATGATTAGTAATTAGACAGGGATTTGTCGTCTGATCCAATCAGAGCGAGCAGGTAACATTTGACTCCGCCTCCTTCAACTGGGCGGCTGTGGTTCAGCGGTCGTTCTCTAACCAGAAGGTCAATGGTTCGATTCCGGTCTTCCCTAGTCTGCATGCCAAAGAATCCTTGGGCAAGATACTGAACTCATCGAGAAAGTACTGCACATAGTACACTGTATGAATGTCACATTCACAATGTGTGATGTAAAACTGTGCTGTAATGCAGTAATACATCAAATAATACATCAAGTAATTCACCAGGACAGAGACTCGGCCATCATGACTCATGCGGATTGTTAAATCACTCACTTCTGTAGTACTGTCCAAATATTTAGTGAAGTTTTTATACCCTAACCAGTGAACTCAGTGTTTCCCACAATGCATCATGATGGTCACCGAGCTATATATGTACCATCATGCATTGCGTTGACAGGAAGAAAAATGACAGTGAGAGCAGCAGGTACAAACCTGCAGTAGTCATGCTAAATGTAATACATCAAGTAATACATCAAGTAATACATCAAGTAATACATCAAGTACCAGTTCCTGGTGTGTCAGAGGCAGCCGTCACTTCCTCCAACAGATAATTAACTGTGACGTTTGAGGAAGACACGAGGTCACGTTCAAGAACTTCCCTCGTTTCTGAAACCAAACTCCAAGTTCCTCCATCTTTGTTTGCAACTCATTCAAACGTTTTGTCATGCAGAACATTTAGACATGTTGTAAATGTGCGTCTGTGTTCGAACACTTGATGAACACATGATGAAACATTCAGTCAGTAGATTGATCTGCAGTCACACACTGATGACGACACAACCAGGAAGGAGCGGTCAGAAACAAGATGGCTGCAGACTGTGATCACTCTACTACTGAACGTTTGTGTGTCACAGCAGCAGGAGACGTTTCAACATGAAGCAGAACATGAACAGGACCACATTAGATTATGTTTGTGAAAAACAGGAGTCGATGCACATTCAGCATTTAGGAGGAATTGAAATGTTGAAGCTGAACTAAACCTCTGTTGGTTTGTTGTTGAGGAATGAAAACACTTTGACACACACAATCATTTGGCTTCATATTTACATTTCAAGTTCAAAAAGGTCCAAACTCTGTTTCTGTCGGAGACTTTTTATTATTTTTCATCCCAATATTAAAATCCCATCATTCACTAGGCTGCTGTTGAATCAACACTTTGACAGACACAATCATTTTGGCTTCATCACATCAAACAGACACATGTTCATACATGTTGGATTATTTCACATGTGAACAGACTTTATGTCATTCAACATGAATCATGTCTCATGTCKGAGTTTTAATAAAGTTTGTTGAATGTGAACAATGATCAGCTGTTATTGATGAATGTGTTTTGATGTGGATCTTCATCAGTTTGCTCGTCTTCATGGATCCACACAAAATCTAAATGATCACAAACATTTTCCATGAAAATAAAAAAACAAACCAAAGAGAAAGATCAGAAAATAATGAACTCTCTTTACACACGTGGAAAAGTCGACAGTAGAAATAAAAGTGAGTGAGAAGTAAAAGCAGAAATAAACGAAGCTTTAGAAAAACGAGTTGAACAGTTAAATTCAACAACATGACAAATCAAATCTTTATCTGTAACTGCTCTGATCCACAGACACATTCACAGGTAACAGCTTCAGTGAGGACGGATCTCCAGTGCTAAAGAWTGGAAACATCTTCWGAGTGAAAGTGTCTCTGAAGGTGTGAATGTGTTTGTTAGTATCAGGATCAGAGAACGACACTTCTCCTCTGTTCCAGTCCAGTTTCACTCTGATCCTCTGGATCTTCTGCACAGAGAGAACAGATGATCCTGATGATGACACTGCAAAGTATTTACCTTCATTGAACCATATTCCCCAGAATCCAGACAGTTTGTCTCCCTTCCTCTGGACAGACTCTGCTGACACACCCAGTGTCCAGAATGTACTGTCTCCAACCAGGACGTCCCAGCTGTGAGTCCCTGAGTTAAAACCCTCAGATCCCAGGACTGAGGCGTAATAATCAAACCTCTCTGGATTGTCAGGAAGCTTCTGTCTCTCTCCTAGTCTCAAACTGATCAGATCTTCAGACAGGACGAGTCCTGGATGAGCAGAGTTTGGGTCCAGAACCACAGGACTGTAGGAGACCAGGTCCTTCATCTTGTTCCAGATGTTGAAGCTCAGGTTGCCCAGATGTTTGGCCTCATCTATCAGAGCTCCTGAGGCCAGCTGTGGATCCTCCAGCAGGGGGCGCTGCTGGACTCGTTCCACCGCAGCCTTGTAGTTGAGCAGGAACGAGACGTCTTCAGCTCTCAGCTCGTCCTCTGTGGTTGTGATTGTGTCTGAAAGAGCCGTTATGTCTCTGGTCAGAGCCTCAATCTTCTCCTTCATCACCCGACTCTTCTGCTCCTCTTCCTCCCTCAGTGCAGCCATCCTGGCCTCCTCTTCCTCCTCCAGAAACTGGTGAAGCTTTTTAAACTGCTCCTTGATCTGCGTCTCTGTGCGTCCGGCCTGGACCTGAATGTGTCCTGCTGTTTGTTTAAACTCTTCTTGAACACGTTGAAAACACTTTAACTTCCTCTTCAGGGGCTCCAGAGTTTCCTGAAGCTKCTTCTTGTGTTGTTGTGCAGCTTCATCGATGGGTCTGAATCTGTGGTCGGTGTGTTTTTCTGAATCTCTGCAGACGAGACACACTGGCTGCTGATGGTCCAGACAGAAGAGTCTGAGTTTCTCTGAGTGCAGACTGCAGAGAGCATGTGAAGAGCTCTGATCTCTCTCCTGTGAGAAGGTCTCACACAGGTTCTTTAACGCCAGGTTCAGAGGTGGTTCATCCATTGAAAATCTTCTCTTACAAAGTGGACAGTCTTTTACTTCTTTGTCTTTCCACCAGCTCTTCACACAGTCTTTACAGAAGCTGTGGCTACATGACAGAAGGACAGGATCTCTGAAGACATCATGGCAGACGGGACAGCAGAGATCCTCTTCTAATCTGGAAGCCATTGAGTCTCCAGGTGAAGCTGAAAACAGACAGTACAGTCAGTCACAGCTCCTCCAGCTTCACTGAGTTTACTTTCACTTTGAGTCGAGGTGTTTGTTAAACTCACGGTCAGTGTGTGGAGCGTCGGCAGGTTGTAGGTTTCCTCTTGTCTCCTGTAGCTGGACTCACTCAGAGGACGTTTGGTTTGGTTTGGACGGTGAAGTTGATCGTCTGGTTTTCGTCCTGCGTCTCTTCGGTGACGAACAGATGTTTCCTGGATCGTCTCAGGTGTGTCAGGAGAGGGTGGAGCTCGAGAGGCTGGATGATAAAACCTGAAACAAATGAACAACCAGCTCTGCTTCCAGTGAGAACTACATGCACCACCCTTATGGACGGCACTTTAACACTTGAACTCTTAACTGTGCCAGATTAGATCAACGGTTCATGTGCAATACATTCACTGCACATATTCTTACTGTCTTTACACTGAAGACATTAGTTTCATTACATTCATGTGTTTCTATTGGTTTTAATCTCCGTCCAACACGTCTAACACGCCTGAAGAGATCATGTGACCACTCACATACACTGGACATGCACGTCCCCTTGGACACAGGACACAGGTTGTTGGAATAACACCTGTAAACAGTTGTGTCGTTGGCTCTGCAGGTTCGAAGTGCATTAACAAAGTCAAGTGTCCATTTTGTTCTGGATGATTTAAGGACCCTGGTGTTTCCTTCACTTCTGTTTGAGTTACAATGAAGAAGACGTGTTATCCCAACCTCCGGAGAGAGGGGGCGCTGCAGAGGCCAACGGGAGCCTCGACGAAGAAGAAGAAGCAGCGGAAGCGGAAATGAGGCAGTTGTGTTTTGAAAGAGGGAAATTTAAAACTCGACGGAGTAAAACCGACATGAATCAAAGCAACGAGAAGCAGAAGAACACGAGCTGAACGGAGCCGAACTTAAAGTAGGTTCACGGACGTTTGGTCACCGACACGTTTAAATAAACCGCAGGGACGCTCGTTCTTTGGATTCGAGGCTCTCGGTCTGTTCACGTCAGTCTGTTTCCCACAAACACAACTTGATCATTGTTGACTGTGAATAATCATTTATTTTCACTCTCGTCCTGTAATTTCACCTCTTACACTTTCATTGGACTGTGTTTTATTGGACATGGTGACATTTCGCTTCGGTAAAGATAAACTCCACAGTCACTGGGCTACACTGAGGATGATAATCCACGATATGACACAGTATTACCTGGAGTCTAAACTCCACTGTGTGTGTCCTTGTGTTGTTATACGTGTATTTGTGTGTTTTTCGACCTGCACATGAAAACTAGCCTGCGTCATTAAATCTGACACATATGTGAAGGACTCCACTACACATGTTAATTCTTCATGTGCTCTTTGAATGCATGAATATGAACATGCAGGAGTTTGTGAGGGTCAAAGTTTTTACTGGAATTTCTGGAAGAGTGAAGAACTTGGAACGTTTAATAATCATCTTTAGCATAATCTTTGCTTGTGTTATGTTTTAAATGGATATTTGTTTTATTCACCGGCTAATTCAGTGACTTGAAACATGGTGAAGCTGACTTGACTTGACCTCTGACCCCGTGTGTCTTACCTGCAGGTTCTCATCACACCAACATGAAGAAGGTGAGAAGCTCCCGGCTGCACGACGCCGGCAACATCGGGGAGGACTGTGAGTGACACACACACACACTCTCACACACACACACACACACACACACACACACACACACACACACACACACTCACACACACACACACACACACACACACACACACACACACCTACACCTTTTTTCTTGAATGGAAATTGAATTTATACAGCACATTTCATTTAAAGAAACTCACATTGAGAGAATACATCAGAAGAAAATATTTAAATATATAGAGAGAATCCAATGTGAAGGTGTAAACCATAATAACAAAGTAAAGAATAGTATACAGCAAATGCATCACACATCCATGAACCAATTAGACATACTGTACAACAGAGCACTCACACCTCACACAGTCATGAGACACAATTCCACAGCAGCTGAACAGGAAGCTGGCTTCCCAAATGGACTCGATACAGAAAATCAGTCCAAGGCCGGAGAGAACCGAAATGTTTTACGATTTTTAAGTTTGTTATTGAAAGTTGACTCTGTTGTGATAGAACACGGGAGTAGCTGTTCTACCGCTGCCTCCATCTGTTCGCTCGTTTGTGTTATTGTGTTAATGATCTGAACACTCAGCTCAACATGAAAACCAACACGGACACGACAACTTTAAATTCAGAAACATAATCGTTCACTGTTTATTTTAATTTCTTCATATAATGAAAGACACATTTTGACCTGTTAACTGTTTGTACTTGTCGGCACCAGAACACTGTTGAAAAACACTCGTGGTGATTCTTTATTGATCCCGCAGGAAATTCAAACATGAATCATCGTTTGAATCGACCAAAAGCTCCTTTATTAAAAACCTTTGTTCATCCTCTGCTCTGCTGTTTGTCTGCGTTCAGGTTGTGTCTTGTGCAGATTAAGTGACGATGATCCGGCCATGTTTGGAGAAAAGGTCACAATAAAAGAGCACAAACTCACGGTCCACTACTTCTGTTTGGTAAGAGTGTGTGTCCGTCTCTCTTGTGTGTTATCCATGTTCCCAGTCATTTCATAAATAAGACATTTCAGATGTGTGTGTGTGTGTCAGCTGACGTCCTGTGGAGTTTACCAGCGAGGGAAGGACAATGAGGGAGTCTTTGGTTTCCTGGTGGAAGACATCAAACAGGAGATGAGACGGTCGGCTCGACTGGTGAGAGATCCACTTTGATTTAATGTTACATCAGCTACGAGCGTCCAGAGATCAGAGAGATGACAAAGGATTTAGTGTGAGAAGCAGCGAGTGTTCACTCTTTATCTTTACTGTGTGTGTTCACTCTTTATCTTTACTGTGTGT